CATTCAGTAATCTCTTCGGAATCAAATAATGGTTACACTACCAAAGTCAAAAGCTAAGTACTTCACATTTCCTCTTCTGTAAATCGAGTAATATGTTAATAAAAATATCATGTAACATGTGTTTTGAATTCGTCTCGATGTCCTCTAAAGCTATGAATAAAAAAATGTATGTTCCTATTTAAAAAACTCAAGTGACCTTGACTTTGCCGATAGAACAAACTGTTTTCAAAATTTGCTTTACTAATATCTATTCTGCACTTCATACCTTGCAAATATTGTTTTAAACTTTTTTTCGTAAGGTGCAAGTAGGAGAAAAGCTTGTGTAGCGTTACAGGTAACACCCTGTATATACGAAAGTATTGGTTCTAAAGAAAAATGTATTAAAAGAAACATGTAGCTTGTAAAAAGCTCTATGAAAAAGGTCCTATGCATTTTTGTCGTAAACCTATTATTTTAGCTATGATCCAATGATACAGAATAAAACTTGAAAATATTTTACAACATTAAAATTATGGGTCATATATTATTTACAGTAGTAAATTTAAAATTATAAATATTAGTCACATATAAATTATATAAAACTTGAAATTTTACAGTATACAAATATTCAGATTTTAAAACCATAAAAATATTTAGTATAAAAAAATTTGTAAAATTCTCAGAGATAATTCGTAATAGTTCGTAATGCCACTGCCAAATGAATACAATTGAAGTCCAAAAAAATTTGATAAATGAAGTGTATATTTTATCCTACATGACTTCAAATTGCGGCCTCAATCCCTCGCAGTATAATTTTTCATTCGAAGTCATTAATATCAATTGAACTTCGCAAAGTTAATACAATATTTCACCATTAAATCTCTGAATCAATTATTGTACTTCTATCACTGTTCGATCAGTTTAATTCGTGTGGGCATGCATTTCCCCCGCGTTCTTTTGGGATACCTTTTGAAACAACAGCAACTCTGTCGATCATTCATACAACCAACATCCACGATGCAGTCGAATATAACAATTTACTAAGAAGAAATTACAAATTTCTAATAAAAACCGTGGAACGTTACATTCGTCTGCATCTGTATATATAATCGTTAAGATAATCGTTTTAATCGTTAAGGTAGAACGTAATGGGTTCACATTTTCTCAGAAATTTTCATTTGTATGATGAAAGTGTTGGATGAAAATTGAAGATGCGTTTAGTGGAAGGCGATGCGATCGATTTAACCGATAAAGAGAAATTGAATGTTTTGTTTTATAGCTCTAATAAGTACATTCAATTTGCTGAAGTGTTTTACAGATATATGATTTTCAAATAAGTTTAATTTTCACTGCTATATGCAAAAGTTTTAAAATGAAGATATTTTATGAAGTGCATTCGAAGGATTTGGCAATATAGCTAGAGGCTCTTCAAGGAAATCAATAAGTATTGTGTTATTATTATGGTTGTTTATTCCAAGTCTTATTAAACAATTTTTTGGTGAGTTTTGTTATAATTACTGTGTTTGTAATTATTATATGCATGAATCAGTACAGCACTGATATAATTTTAAACAATATTGTTCAACTTCTGGTTTCAAACAGTGTTCCTATTTAATCAATACTAATTTTAAATATACTTATTTAATTAGTACAAGTTTGTAAAATAAATAACAACAATTATAATGTAACATAAAGTAAGACACATGTAACATATGTAATTCTATCGTTAAAGCAAACATAACACATGTGTGATAACGCAACGTATGATTATCACAATTTGGTGATAACACAAAATGACATTTCTATTAAATAATACTATTTTACAGAAAAAATAATAATTATACTAATATAGAATAATCAATTTCTTAAAATAAGCATATGTAACACATGTCACAGTTCTATCTCTACAAAGGTAACATACCAAACTTTTATTACCTCCTAATGAAGTATCCAGTTTTTACAGTGAATGGTAATTTTGTACAATACGTGTTTGTATCGACGCGAACACAAAACCGCAGTTAACTGGTTGCGTAGTTAAAAAAGTCTGTAGCGAACGTCGCGCAAGAAGATACATGAATAAAACATTGTTCTTCGGTCGTTATATGTACGTAGAAAGTTCAAACGTGAAAAACGGGCGGAAAAAGTAAATCAGGTAAAGTTGGACGCGGTCGTAGGAATACCTTGACGGAATGTGTTGAATTATTGATAGCCCTTCAATAAAAATAGCGCGATTTCCGCGCGAAAAATAGCAGCGTTTTCGAGTATGTTTTCGAGCGTTATGTCGATAGGTTACGCGTCGTATTTTCCCGTGAAAGTTTCCTTTTTTTTTTTACTTCGTTAAATCAAAGTCCGTCGGAATAACAAACGAGATTGAGAAACGTCCGTTGCATGTCCTTTTAGAGCGATATTGACGGCGTATAATTAAAACGTCAATTGCTGTAACGTACGTTTGGAAATGTTTTTGAAAGGTTTCGATCCTTTTGGACGGTGTTGAAATAACTCAGGTAATGCTCTTTACTTTTGCGTGTGTGACATCGCGATGATTGGGAGATTTTTTGTTGCTTTTGTGATTTTGGAAATTTTGGGAATTTGGGGATTTGGAAATTTGGAGATTTGGAATTTGAATATCTGGGAAATTTAAAGAATTAGGGACATTTGAAAAATTAGGAAAATCTGGGAAATTTAGCAATTTTGGAATTTTGGTGCTTGAAGGTTTAAAAATTTGAAAATTCAGAAATTTGGAAATTTGAGAATTTGAGAATTTGGAAATTTGAGAAATAGGGAATTTGAGAATTTGGAAATTTGAGAATTTGGAAATTTGAGAAATTTGGAAAATTTGGAAATTTAGCAATTTTGGAATTTCGGTACTTGGAAGTTTAAAAATTGCAATGTATCTACCATCAATTTTTATATGAACAACGTACCGAAATTTTTTTGGTCCACTATTTCAGTAACGCTGTCAATTATTAAAGAAAGAAAGTGTACACCACAGTGCATATATGGTAAGAAGAAGCGAAGATATTTTTAAGAAGAAACGGATCGATTAATCTTTAACGATCGATGTTACGAAACGTCGCTCGTATCTTGAAATATAAATGAAAATTGAATAAATTAGTTCACCAGAGTGTCAGGAAATATCGCTATTGACCGACATTGGAGAAATCTCGACGTTCAATAGAAACCTTTAATGAAGACATTTAAACTGTTAAGGTTAAATTATAAAAATGGATCTGTACATAACCTAGAATCTATAATTCGTTGTAGAAAAATGTTGAAAAATAAAAGATAGCTTGTACCGATGGATTTCATTGTTTGTGTCGGTATAAGTTGATGATATACATTTTTTTATTAAGAATTCGCTCTGTAATTGAACTAACTTACAGTTCATTTTTTGTAGGATTATCGACAACCACCTCAGGTACATACCCACCAAATTATGTCTGTCTATGATTATTATGTACCGAATTATTTCATTTTTATTGGTTTGCCACGCCCCTTTTTGCCCCGCTCATTTTTTATATACCTAAAAACCGTCTCCATGGAAAAATACATATGTGCCAACTTTCACCGTGATCAAACGGTGTCGAAGTCTATTAATTTCGTACAAACTTCCATTTTTATATATATAGATTCGAATGAAATTTTCAAGTAGACTTTCAATTCTCAAGTTTGTATATCAAGTTTATAGGTTAAATTGTCTGAGGTACGAATTT